GAACAAAGGAAATATTTGTGTGGCAAAGACAAGTCCCAAAAGTGTGCATAAAGCATACTTAAAACTGTTTGAGACGGACTTCATGTTGTTTCTCAAGTCCCGCTATGATGAGATGATTCTTGGAGGACAAATGCTACTAACAATTGTTGGCAATGCCTGGGAGTCTAATTCTCCTGATGATAAGAGCTGCACTGTGTGGGAATTGCTTGGAAACACCTTATATGACATGGTGCTAGAGGTGCATCATTTTTTTCTCTAAGTTGCATCCCTTGTATTTTTTTTTTTTTCCACTTCATTTGTCATGTTAATTTATGCAAGTAATTAACTTGATATTCCAGGGGTTCATTGAAGAACCAAAACTCGATGAATTCAATCTTCCTTACTATGCACCTGCTGAGGAGGAAGTGAAGAAAGCAGTTGAAGCTGAAGTATCATTTGATATCCGGGAATTGGAAACATATAAGATGGATTGGGATTCTAGTGCTAGCTCCGAGATTGGTTTGCAAGGCAAGAGTGTGGCTGGGAGTATAAGAGCAATCGCAGAATCTCTATTTGCTAGTCATTTTGCCGATGTGAATATGGATGATCTGTTTGAGAGATATGCTAAGAAGGTAACAGAGTACTTTGAGGTGGTAAAGGGCCAATGTACAACCATGCTCATTTCCATGACCAAGGAACTCGAGAAGTAATACTAGATCTAGGTCGAGGCTTTTAATAAACTTAATTTTGGGTAAAAATGGAGCCAATTAGATTTAGGGTCTTTTTGGCTCACAGAAATTAAGTATTAAAAATTATTTTCTACATTTTTTTTTATTTTGATAAACCTTTAAAAAATAAGTTAACTAAAAATATTTTTAGGCATTAAAAAATATTTTACATTTAAAAATCAAGATTTAAAAATTAGACATAGGCAAAAACCCTTCTTAAGCCACTAGACTTACCCCAAATTAGGATTTTAGCCCTTGAGTTAAAAATGATGCAATTAAGCCCTTCAACTCCCCAACCGGTGCAAATAAGCCCTTCAACTTAGATTTGCCGCAAAAGTGCCGACACTTATATTATTGTGTGGACACTCTAAGTAGTTTTTAGTTTAGAAAACTTATATTTTTAATTTAATCTTATTTTTTTGGTATTTCTCATTGCCCCAATTAATTTGAAATCGAGTCGAGTCAAATCTTATAAAGAAAAATCTCTTTTAGTACTTATTTTTATTTATAAAACTCAAATTTGAAACTTTATTTTAAGAAAACTAAATTTTTTAATTTAAATTAAAAAATCGTTAAAACTTTCGTCATATTTTTCTACTAAAGTTTTTTTAAAAAATATTAGAATCTGAAGTTTAATTATAAAATAATTACATATCTTATTTTCATTAATAAAAGTTGAAGATACCACAAATATTGTTCATGATTCATACATTACAAAAGAACAATTTATGTGGTATCTTCAACTTTTATTAGTAAAAATGAGATATATAATTATTTTACAATTAAACTTTAAATTTTGATCTATTTAAAAAAAACTTTAGTAAAAAAGTAAGACAAAATTCCAAACAATCTTTTGGTTTAAATAAAAAAAAACCTAATTTTTCTTAAATAAGATTTCAAATTTGAATCTTATAAATAGAGATATAAATACTGAAAGAGTTTTTCATTATGAGATCTGACTCAAATCAATTTGAAATTAATTGGAGCAAAGGGAAGTACCAAAAAAATAGGGTTTGATTAAAAATACAAGTTTTTTAAACTGAAAATTACTTAGAGTGTCAATACAATAATATAGATGTCGGCACTTTTGCTACAAATCTAAGTTGAAGGGCTTATTTGCAGCATTTAGGGAGTTAAAGGGCTTACTTGCATCATTTTTAGTTCAAAGGCTTAAATGCTAATTTGAGGTAAGTTTAGGAGCTTAAGAAGGATTTTTGCCTTAGACATATGGGATAACAAGTCATTCTCTAGTCAACCAATGATGCTCGCATTGTATACGTGGGATGAATAATTTAGTTAGAAAAATCCCACATCAATTGTAAATGGTAGATGTTTAAATAAATGAGTTTATAAAAAAAGTCTTTGATTTATCAAGGTTAAGTTAACTCATTTTCTTTAATTAGATTATTATTTTTTAATTTATAAAATTTATAAATTATATCATGAAATTAACTATCTAAGTTAAGTATTATGATTACTGAAATTTTCTTACTCTATTCACTTCTTAATTGTTGCAAACAGCCATTAGAGTTCGTCCGCGCCTTCAATGCTAGCCATTAAAGTTTGTCGACGCCTCCGATTCGTACCTATTTCTAAGATTGAATGAAATGTTTGCAAAGTTCTAATTCTAGGTTGAAACATTTGCAACAAATTTAATTTTGGTTGAAATACTTGGATTGGCTGAACTAATCCCTAGTCGTCTATCCCACAGGACCACAAAAGCAAACCAAATCTGTACCTTTTGTTTTGTTTTTTTATTGAAAAATTAAAATGATTTAAAGATAAATTTTTTATATTTTTTATATAAAATTTATAATATTAAATATATTTATTTATTAAATTTAACGATATATAAAAATTATATAAAAAATTATATAAAAATAAATTAAAAAAAGTGTTTATATGTTACTGCCCATTGAAAAAATATCCTTTCATTATTTTCCTTCAGCTTCTCACTCACAGTCAACGCCTGCATTCTTCATGGCGATGATCCAACAACAACATCCCCGAGCCAAAACCCTTTGTTAATTTTCTACAAATACACCGTTGGGTTCCGTAATCCAAACAGAAATCACCAAAATGATCAAATCCATTTTCCCCATCCCCACCACCACAACCCAAATTCCCTCAACCAAGACCATCCTCTCAGCCGCCGCCTCTGTCGCTGCTACCGCCGTGCTTGTCCGCTCAGTCGCTAAGGACTACCTTCCCCAAGAGCTCCGCGACTACGTTTACCTCAAACTCAAGACCTTCCTCGCCTCCTGCAGTTCGGAGATCACCTTAGTCATCGAAGAATATGACGGTCTCAAACAAAACCATCTTTACAAAGCCGCCGAGCTCTACCTCGTACAAACAATCCCTCCCTCCGCGAAACGAATCAGGGTTTCCATTCCCAAGAAAGAAGACAAAATTTCAGTATCCCTTGGAGATAGGGAGGAGATCGTCGAAAATTTTCATGGGGTTCAACTGAAATGGAAATTTGCGTTGAAAAAGGTCCCCTTAAAGCGTATGCCGAGCTCTGATCCTTACGAGTTTTCATTTCTATCTGAGGTTAGAAAATTCGAGCTCAGATTCCACAAGAAACACCAGAAAATGGTCTTGGAGACCTATCTGCATCATATTCTAAAAAAAGCTGAGGAATTGCAGGAGAAGAAGAAAACCCTGAAACTGTTTACCTTAAGGAATGACAGGACATATCCAACGAGAGATATGTGGCAATCGGTAAATCTTGATCATCCGGCGACTTTTGATACTCTGGCTATGGAATCGGAGCTGAAGAAGATGATAATGGAGGATCTGGAGAGGTTTGTGAAAAGGAAGGAGTTTTATAGGAGGGTAGGGAAAGCATGGAAAAGAGGGTATTTGTTGTTTGGACCTCCTGGGACAGGGAAGTCTAGCTTGATTGCAGCCATGGCTAATTATCTTAATTTTGACATATATGACTTGGAATTGACTGATGTTAGAACTAATTCTCAGCTAAGGAAGTTGATGATTTCGACAGGGAATAAATCGATACTGGTGGTGGAGGATATCGACTGTTCCATCGAGTTACATAATAGACGTGCTGAGCGCAGGAAGGCTAAAATGGCTGCTGCTTCAGCACCTAAGCACTACGATGAAGAACCAAAGCCTCAGGTAACGTTCATTCTTCTTTTCGTTTCGTCATCTACTAGTATAATTTGATAGCATGATATTGAATGATTTTTGGGAGGAGAGATTCAAACATGAAATCTTTTATAGTTCAGGAACTCAGTATGAATCGAATGTGATGGTTTCTAGTTTCTTTGGGTCTCAGGTTACGCTTTCAGGATTATTGAACTTCGTAGATGGGTTATGGTCAAGTTGTGGGGATGAAAGAATTATAGTGTTTACTACAAATCACAAAGACAAGCTTGATCCGGCTCTGCTGCGTCCTGGTCGTATGGATATGCACGTCCACATGTCCTACTGCACGCCCTGCAGTTTCAAATTGCTTGCTTCCAACTACCTGGGAATTACAGAGCATCCGTTGTTCTTAAGCATAGAAGAGTTGCTGGAGATAAAGAAGGTGACTCCAGCGGAAGTTGGTGAGCAGCTGATGAAGGATGAGGTTCCAGAAGTTGCCTTAAGAGGTCTCATTGAGTTTCTAGAGAACAAGCATGGAGAAGGCCACGAAGAGGGTAGTGAGGTAGCATCTGTCGTAGGGGACAAGGTAGGGGAAGCTAGAATGCACACTAAAATAAGGATAGGGTGAAGAAAATCTTGAGAATGCTGCTGAATTGGTAAATATGTGCTGCTAGAGAAATGCTTACCCTGTACTATCATGGTCCTGTCTTGTTGGATTCTAGTTTGAAATAAAGGCGTTAAAAGGCATTTGTTTCTACAGCATGAGACCATGCATTATCCTGCATGGAACAGTATAAAATCTAGTATCATTTCTTTCTTAATTTGACATAATAATTTATCATTGAGTAATCGGATCCTCTGCCAATCTTTCCAACAAGAGTTAGGGGCTCTTGCCCAAACAACAAGATCAATATTCTATTATCCCAAACAAGAACTCCAACTGAAAGAACTTGGGATCATGCACAGAATATAATTCCTATCAATAGTCTCATAAAACCTCAAACATTGTAATAAATCACTTCAGAACCACCGAAACTATGCGGAACTAAAGGATTCTCTCAGAGTACATATGAACCTTGAAGTGTATTCATCAATTAGCAAATTTTTATTTTTGCAATCTGTGATAAGACTACTAACTGAACAGAAGCCTTTCCAGTTGATGGGCCTGCAAATGTCAAATACACAACAAAAGGATCAGTCTCGCGGAGAGTTTACCTATAAAATTTAAACATGGCATGGCAGATATCAATTAGAAAATACAATGATAATTGAAAAAGGCTGGAGAATCATATACTTGCCTCAAAACTGAGCAAATACTGCCTAGGTGGACTGGAGCCTCTAAGATTACCGAACATGCAAGAGATCTCTACACAGCCATTTTCATCTCTATTTTCTGGTGAGGATCATAACCTTTGAGTTTGAAATCAGATGCCACAAAAGAATCTATATTCTTTTTCTCAGGATTGATCTTCAAAATCTGGATGGTAATATGATAGAAAAAGCCATGAGGAAATGGGAGACCAAAAGAAAGCCCACCCCAGACCAATGAAATTATTATCTTAATCAAGCCATAATGTTTTTTCACGAAAAACTAAAATTGCTATACTTACTGGAAAAGGCTTTGGCAGCTTCTGAAGCTGCTCCTGCAAGGGCCTGACATGAGTGCAATACACATGAGCATCCCCGATAACATGGATAAAGTCACCCGGAACAAGATCTGTACATAAATAAGAGATAAATGAAGATAGTATGTTAAAAACACAAATTGTGATGCACTCAAACAAACAGAAAATGATTATATAATCCACCTAAAGAGAAGTGGGGATATGGAGACGTTGATTATGTATCAATTTTGGACTTCTATTCACTTTTTGCTCATTGCTTTATTTCATTTTAAGAAGTTCCAAACCTTTGGTTGAGCATAGTTTACCAAAATAACATTACTCAACATGGTCAAGTTGTTTCTTCAGCCAAATAAAATTAGAAACCTCATATTCCATAATGAACCATAAAGATTGAAATTCAAGCATCTGCATTGATACCGGCCCCTCAGTTTAACTCAGAATACATATGGGACCAAGAGTTGTATGCCCAATAATTGGTCAGATGACTACATATACCCATTAATATTAATCATTCTAGCAATTTAATGCATGAACAAACACCACATCCTAAACAACATACCACAAACATGAGCAATCATGTTTGTCAGAAGAGCATAGGAACCAATGTTGAATGGTACACCCAATCCCATGTCAGCAGAGCGCTGATACATTTGACATGACAACTCCCCATTGGCCACGTAGAACTGCAAAATTTTGTATCAAATAGGATGGGCTCAATTACAGAAGATAAGGACAAGACAATCCAACCACCTCAATGCTAACCTGAGCAAACATGTGGCAAGGTGGGAGTGCCATCAATTTCAGATCAGAAGGATTCCAGGCTGAGAGTATAATCCTTCTATCATCAGGTTTATTCTTAATCTTATCAATAACATCTAACAATTGATCAAACCCTTGGCCAGTGTAGTCAGCATGCATATCAGTATATCTAGCAAAGATCAGAAGATTTATGAAAAAAATTGAAATCTTTACACAAGTATTAAGAAAAAAAAAGAAGGGCTGAAAATTCACCAACCTAGCCCCAAAATGTCTCCATTGAAACCCATAAACAGGTCCCAGGTCACCTTCTTCCCTCTCAGTCAACCCAACACTGGATTTGAATGCACAAAGGATGATTAGTAACCATGTAAGGAAAGGTATGTGAAATAAAAAATATAAAGATTACATGAGGATCAAGTAACACCTATCAAGATACTCTCTGGATGCATTACCATCCCATATATGGATGCCCTTTTCCTGAAGAACCTGTCAATAATATTGTATGCTTTAAAATGAAATCCTTTTCTTCAAGCTCTAACATCTATATCATAGAAAAGAATCCTCCCAAGTGCTAATACAGAAATTTCATGTAAAGATCAGAACATCTCCAATCTCTATAAAAGATTCTAGTCATAAAATCCTTAACAGAACAGTGGCACACAACTGAATAAACTCTTCAATTCCCAGACAATAACATAAAGGACGGATATGATGCACAGTGGAAGCACTTTTAAACATTTCCAGGACATAAGTCACAAGTCATCTCATTTATGATACAAGAAAAGAGCATCCAATATGATACGAAAGATGGATAAGTTGATAATGGAAATGAAGCACGCACAGCCTAAGATGTTTGAATAAAGACAAGATTACCTTGGCACTTGTTGAACCACTGATGAACCAAAGAAGCTCTTCAACAACACCTCGCCAAAATACTTTCTATTTACCAAAATTATACACATTAATTTGCTTACCTGAGAAATATTAACTAACATAGAGACCAGAAAAAATAATTCAGTTACACAGAACACCATAAGTTGGAATAGATGAATGATAAACATGCCTGACCTTTGTTGTGAGAAGTGGAAAAGTTTTTCGCAAATTGAATCGCATCTGTGATTGGAAAGGACAAGGAAAAATCAGAGCATGTGAATCAGAAATCAATCCTGAAAAGAAGAATATAAAATGAAAGAATACTTTCATGCAAAAAGAGGCAGATTATTAAGCAAGAAATTCATGTTACCTGGCAACCAAACTTTGATAAAGTGCCAGTCCCTGTTCTGTCATCTTTAAGAGTGCCATTGTCAATGATGTCTTGAACCATTCTAAGATACAAATACTCCTCATGACTCTGAAAAATCATCTTGGGCAGGAAAGAGAACTTCTTCACCTCAAACTTATCAGTGTCTGGCTTCTGATCAGAGATCTCATCATTGTTCTGATTGAGGCATTCAACCACAGAGTTACGAACACGAACATAAGTCATGAAACTATACCGGATATTGTTTTCCACCACAGGAAATGACGAGTACCATGGCTGGAATACAGAGGAATCAATTACAGGCATAAAAGTGTCACAATCTATGCTTATCTCAATTTCGGTAAAGTGGATAGCATCGCAGTCAGGTGCATTGAGAGCTTCCCTGTAATAGAAGGTAGTAAATAAAAAGAACATAAAATAAGGAGAAACTGAAAAAGATCTCCTTTGATTTATGGTATTAGAAGCAGGCCCTTACCTAAATATCTGACCACCCCCAATGACAAAAACTTTCTCAATTGATATACAATAAGGAGATGCAGCTAGTAATTGCAAAGCAGAAGTCATGCTTCCACAAATTACAACATTCTCAGCAGTAGCAATATCAAAACTTCCAGAGCGAGTCAGGACAACATTAAGACGACCTGGCAGAGGTCGATGCCCACGGGGTATACTTTCCCATGTTTTCCTCCCCATTATGACTGCATTCTTTTTTCCAGAGTCTGAGGTTGTCAAAGTAATCTCCTTGAAGAATCGGAGATCAGAAGGTAACTTCCAGGGCAATTTCCCATCCTTTCCAATACCTAAGTCTCTAGTTGCAGCCACAACAATCTGGTAAGTACATTGTGGAACAGGTTGTGCATTTTCATTGCCATTAGAAACACTTGCCATGGTATTAGCTGACACAATGGAACAAAAAAACCCGAATGACACTCAACGGTGATTGCTTCAAAACACGACCACACAGCAAACTATTTTGGAAGTGCAGTAAAACCTGGATATAGTAACACTAGTCATTACATACCTCAAATAAATCATAAACACACATACACTGCAAAACACATAAAACTTGAAACTGAAGCAGTATAAAGAAACAATAAACCAAGACGTCCAAGACCACAAGCAAAAACATTAACCAATTCAACCTGTTAGTATAACCAATTAGCGGCAAAGATTCCGAATAGATCAAAATCACGGTAGCAACAAACTGCATGCAGAGATGAAACAAACAGCACACCATACCAAAATCAGCAGTAGAATAAACATACATTTATTAATCTTTAATCCAGAAAACTAAAAACAGTACTTAATTAAATAAATCCAAATGTTCATAAAAAAATTACTCAAATCCAAAAGGCATCAACATGTGAGAGACGGAGTATAAACAATCAGAGATGAAATTTCCAATGCACATTCCGCGACGAACTAAATCGACAAAAGAATTTCTTCGATAAACACGCCTCTACCAAACATTCCATTTTTTTTTGACAAAAAATGAAAAAAAAAATACATTTTTCTACCAAACATTCATAGGAGCTATCTTTATCAAAACCGGAAAGAATCTTTGGGAAATAAATACCAGAAAAAGGCGAAATGCAAGAAGGATATTCACCGATCTGAGGTGGAGACGCGAAATCTTTGATCGGCGGCTGTGAAACGTTCTTCTTCCGTTAGAAAGAGAGAAGAAACTAGGGTTACGGCGACCTGAGAGTAGCTTGGCTTTCTTCTCTGCGGAGAAGTAAACGGGAACGCACAAAATCCAGAAGCACGGTTGACGCGGAGGACCGCCATGGTAAGTGAGAGCGCATCTAATTATATATGCAGCTCCACTCCCACTGTAATTGCCACTTGTTTTGGCCGATATTTACAATCTTGCCAGAGAGAAGATTAGTATTTAATTTGAACAAAAATTCAAAAAACAAAAACCCTCCTGAACTCTTCATGAAATTACACTCTTGCCCAAAAATTTGAAATGCCTATCCAAATATATATAAATTCAAATGTAAAATTAAAAGAGTTAACATCGTATTATTATATATTTTGTTGTATTAATTACCTGTTCATTCAAGTAAAAAAAATTTGACCTGAATGAAGCTTTGAATTCGAATTTTGTAAATAAAAAAATAGTTTTTGAAAGAGTTTCGCTTATTCAATGTATGTTGATTTTTAATTAATTGAGATCTAATATGATTGTTAGATATCGAAAAATCAGTACCAAAAATTATATAGTTTGTTGTTAATAAACACCATCAAGAAATGACATGAAAATCTCATTTTAGCTCTTAATTCCCGCAATAAAACTCATTAACCCGGATCAAGGAACACAAATTTGACATTAAGATCCTAGAATGCCTTAGAGTAATTAGCCCCAAGAGTTAGTTACGGGTCGCTAATTTGGTTTTTATTAAGAAAAACAGCTAAACAAAAAAAGATTAAAAGGCAAGGCCCCCCTCCCCCAAACCCCACCTAAAATGAAATTTAAAGCCGTCCGTGACTCCGTGTGTCATGCCTCTTTTCGTTTTGGCGGGGACCCCGGGAGCGTGTTATGGCTGAAAGGCGGGAAATATTAGGGGGGGAGCCAATTAAACGGAGCCACTTGTTGGATTGTCATTGCGTTTTCTGAATTCGTATCTTATCCGTACACGTGGTGACAATCGAGGGATGTGCTGTCAATGCCTTCCCGCCTTTGGCCGTTAAAGTACTATTAATGATGATTGAGTTTTTACTTGGAAACGTCTTAAATACTCCAAAAGTACACAATTAAGGAGATGAAATCTCGACCGTCCACGTCACTTTCTGCCAATAATTTCACATTTCCCTTGATATCTTTCTCAACTTGTCGGGATATTTTGATTTTCGAGTTTAGTTGTTCTTTTTTTTTTTTTTTTTTTT